TCAAGGGTCCTAGAATGGACTGCAGTGACAAAACAATCTAACTATATTAAAAATCTGTAAAGCAGCTTCACTGAAGGAGGTGGGAGGAAAAGATGCTGACCTAAGTGATTTTGGAAATGAGAGGAGTCTGTAAGACTAAAGGCGAAAGAAAATGTCCATAAAACTGTACTTAATAAAGTTGTTTCCCATAAGGTTTCAAGTTAACGGTTCTAATACAGCTGTGCACTTTTACAAGAATTAGCAATTAAGTAAATGCATGGCAGATGGTGGGAGCCAGATTTCTCATGGAGTTCACAGATAAGCAATGGGAATAGGCTGGGTTGGTCCATGTGGTAATGAATTAGAGTTGGGGCTATCAGTATGAATTCACTCATGTTTAGCTTAACATAGATACCTATGGTTACATATAGAAATATTTACAGATATTTGTACATATATACAGAGTTTACTGTACATATTTCCTTGTTGTGTCAGCTAAGAGAGCCTAGAAAGCAATGACACCCCAGTAGCAAGGAGAACTTCTAGTGCCCAGATATTGGCTTTAATACTGTTCTCCAGTAAAAGAAACTAGAGCTCCTTGGAGAAACTGCTGATTCTAAGATTGAGTTAGCATATATACAAGTTGGCCCTGGAGCATCTTGTAGTGCCGGAAAGTAAGTATCTAACACACACACACACACACACACACACACACACACACACGAAATGATAGGAGGATCTCAAAGGGATAGAGGAGCCAGCTTCAACAAGAGCTCCTCATGGCCAAACCTGAAACAATTTGAACCACAAAATAATGCAATATTAAACTATAACTGAAAGTATTAAATAACTATGAGTTCACACTATTATAAATGAATAATTGAATAAATAAATCAAGGAAAATGACAAATCTCCCATGCAGAAGAATTCCAAATAATTTCTGTAGATATTCTACACTCAAAGAGGTAGAACATAACCCCCTACTCCTTTGATGTGGGCTGTATGTAGTAACTTCCTTCCAAAGGGTGCAGCATAGACATGGTTTAACTTTACGGTGAAGAACATGACAAATTACCTGAGCCGAGCAATCAAGATCAATATCAACAGTACTAAGTCATGTTGATGGAATGTACCCATGATACAATGCAACAAAAAGCCTCTTTATCTTTGTGGTTTTCTACCCAAAAACCCATAATCCAGTCTAATCATGCAAAAAAAAAAATCAAATAAATACCAATTAAGGAGCAATCTACAAAATATTTGATGAGTATTCCTCAAAGTACTCATTCCCCAAAACAAGGTAAATCTGAAAAATCATCACAGCCAAGAGGAGCCTAAGGAGACACAACAACTAATGTAATATGGTATCCTGGATGGGATTCTGAAATAGAAGGACATTAGGGGCCGGGTGCAGTGGCTCATGCCTGTAATCCCAGCACTTTGGGAGGTCAAGACAGGTGGATCACCAGAGGTCAGAAGTTCGAGACCAGCCTAGTCAACAGGGTGAAACCCCGTCTCTACTAAAAATTTAAAAATTGGCTGGGCATGGTGGCGGGCACCTGTAATCCCAGCTACTCGGGAGGCTGAGGCAGGAGAATTGCTTGAACTCGGGAGGCAGAGGTTGCAGGGAGCCAAGATCACACCATTGCACTCCAGCCTGGGTGACAAGAGCAAAACTCTGTTTCAAACAAAAATAAAGAAGGACATTAGATAAATACAAAGGAAATCTGAATAAAGTATTGACTTGTTAATAATATACAGGTAGTGATTCACTAATTATAACAAATGTACTATACAAATATAAGTTGTTAATAATAGGAGAAACTGGATATGGAGCACATAGGAACTCTCTTTACTATCTTTATAATTTTTTGCAAGTCCAAACTGTTCTAAAAATTAAAGTGTATATATATATCCTTTTAGTATATATAAATACACTATAGAGAAGATTTTGGTTTTACCTAGATTACATCACTGAAAGATGTTTTGATGTGGGAATAAAAGATATAATCAGACACAATCCTGTAAAAATCAATTCATCTCCTTGGTGATGATTTTAATCACATATGCTCCTTTTGGATGGACATAGCTATAAGGAAAGAATTTTTTTTAATGCAGAAGTATATTAAATTTATTCGTTAATAAACAATGAACATCTCCAGATAGCGACAAATGGCAAGGAATTATGTCCAGCTATAATTTAACCAGCCCTCCTTAGGATTGCTACTATTAGAGTTCAATGGTGGTATAAACCATCTCTAGAGTATGCTTTTTCTGTAGATGGTTTATTAGATGACTTGCAATGAAATCGAACACAGGACTCTTCTTTAACCCCTTCAGGAACCTGATGAAACGCCTGGTCTAACAGAAGGAGGCAGAGAAAGTTATGAAGAGGGGTATGTGAGCTTCTGTGCTACTTATTCTTGGTCCTGCAATATGGTCAGTGAAGCACCCTGAGCGCTCACCCTTTCCCAGGGCTATAAAGCAAATTGGATGAATGAGTGTGATTTGGAGAAGAAGGAAACTGCAGTTATCACTGCTTTACCTTGACCTCTGCCTGGAGACAAGGCTGAGAGGGTGACTACAAAATTAGAGTGACAACTAACATATGCTGGATACATGTCCTGGGCCCGGATGATGCCAGGTATTTTACAGTGGGTCACTCCTCACAACAACCCTATGAGCAGCAGTCTCTTCCTTAAGATTTTGAGGGGGCCCAGTAATCACTACCCCTCTTCACCCCCTTCATTCTCAAAAAATTAAGATATAAGACAAAGGAGTAACAGATGAAGATATTATAATATCACCCCTATTACTGATAAAGTCTCTCTTACAGTGCTGGTGGGAGCATAAATTGATATATCTATTTTGGAAAACTAAACCTGAACATACGCATTCTCTATGCCCCAGCAATTCCACTCACAGAAATATACCCAATAAAATGTGTATGCAATATACCCAATAAAATGTCGCTCACCAAACGACATGTACTAGAATGCTCATAGGAGCACTATTTGTAAAACTGGAAAATACCCATGTGTCCAGCAGCAGTAGAAGGGATCAATAAATCTTGGTATACTCACACAATAGATTATTATATAGCAATAAGAATGATCAAACCGTCACTACAGGCAACAATATAGATGAATATGACAAATGTAACATACAGGCAAAGAAACCAGATGCAGAAAAGCATGAACTGTATGATTTCATTTATGCAAAGTACAAAAGTAGGAAAATGAATTGGGTTTTAGAAGTCAGTTCAAGATAGTTGTTGCCCTTGGGTGGGGACAGTGATTGAGAGGGAGCAGGCAGGAGACTTTGGGGACTAGCAATATTATTTTTCTTGAAATGAGTACTAGTTACTTGGGTGTGTTTGGTTGTGGAAATTATGGAGCGATACACAAGCAGTAAGCATCTTTACCATATATATAGTACTTCAATTTAAAAAATTTAAAAATCCTCTCTTGATCCCATCTTCCCATCCAACTACCACTATCTCTCCTCTTCCCTGTAAAGCAAATGTTTTTGAATGGAGTGTCTTTGTTTGCTGTGTCCAATGTCTGCATTCTCTCTTGAACCCAGTCCAGCAAACCTTTTGCTCTAGATTCTAAAAAGCTGGTCTTATAAAGATCAGTGATGACTTGCATATGGCTAAACTCAATGGTCAGCTTGCCTCATTGGACTTACCAGCAGCATTCCATACAGACTATCACTGTCTGCATATTCTCTTAGTTTCTGTACGCACTATCCATCACTAGGTGAACTCACGGAGCCTCACGGCTTTAAATGCCATGTCTGTACTGATGACTGTCTCATTTATATTTTCAGCCCAAATCTCTCCTTAGCACATCAGACTTGTGCATTAAATTGCCCACTCAACATCTCAAACATAATATATTCCAAACAGATGTCCTGATATCCTCCAAACCTGCCCTTCCCACATTCTCCTCCTTCTTATTAAGCTTCTCACATCTACTCCGTCTTTCCAGTTGTGTAGCACCCAAACCTTGGAATAACTCTGAACTCCTCTTTTTTTTTTTCTCATACAATGCATCTAATCCATTAACCAGACCTGTTGATTCTACCTTCAAAATATATCCAGAATTTACCCACTTCTTGCTGCTTAGATTGCCACCATCCTGGTCCAATCCACCTTCCTCTCTTGCCTGGGTTATCTCAATAACCTTCTAGATGCTTCTTCCCTGCCCCTCACTGCTCTGCCCCTTGCCTCTGCCCTTGCTGCCCCACAATCTATTTCCTCCAAAGAGTGATCCCAGTAAACAATAATCCAAATCATGTCATTTGTCTGCTCCAAACCCTTCTAATATTTTCCATCTCACTCAGAAGAAATGGCAGTTCCAGGCTGTGAACTTTAAGACTCTGTATGATCTGACCTCACATTGGCTTTCAAACCTCATCTTGCACACTTCTTTCCCGGTGTACTCTGCTTTTGCCGCACTGGGATTTTTATGGGTCCCTGGACACTCCGGGCATTTCCCTTGGCTCAGGGCATTTGCATTGGCTGTCTCCGCTCACTGGAGTTCTCTTTCCCTGCTATACACATGGTTTTCTCTCTCATTTCCGTCAGGTCTTTCTTTACTCAAATGACATACTTTTTAAAAGAGGATTTCTATCTAAAATTTTATACACACATCTCTGTATCCCCCTTCCCGGCATATTTTGTTTTCTCCTTGGCCCTTATCACAGTCATGTGTGTATTTGTTCATGTATTTATTGACTGAGCGACTGATTTTTTTTCTCTCCCAGTAAGCTGCAAACTCTGTGAAGACAGGGATATTTTTCCCATTTTTGCCCCATCATGCTGCAAGCCCAAGATACAATTAGAACACATCCAATTCACTGTCCATCTACCTGTGGCATTTCAACCATGACCACAAACCAAATCACTCTCCCTGTATCACATTCCCTGAGAAACTTTGTTTTCTCCCACAGGAAAGATTTGTTTATTTTTCTGATTCAATCAAATGTACCACTAGTTTCTGCAGGATTATTTGTACCTCTTTCAGGATCCTGAAGAATTTGCTCCTGGGCCGTGAAGATGGGAAGCTGAGTCAGAGTGCATTTCTTCACCCAATCCCACAGCCACACATGCCTGCTCACTCACGGGATCTTCCCACTCTCCTTGGGAAGGCTTCTGAGCTGCTTCCTCAGGATGTCCTGTGATCGCAGCCTGACCTGTCAAAGCCATGCGAATGCCATCTGTTCAGTTATATAACTTGAGATCTGGGAAGAATTCTCAGCATAAGATTTGCTGCCCAAATCGAATCATTTTCAGAAAGGAGATTAAATATTCTTTGCTGGGAAAAGGAGAAATAACCAGACAAATTAACATTTCACTGAGTATAAACAAACCTTTGTCCAAAATACACAAATGAAAATGACAAATTTGCTTCACTAATATTTGCTTGCATTAAAAATATACACAGAACTATGGATCAATATCTTAAGTGCAAAATAAATTCTTAATTGGGAACATGGAATTATTAATTTAACCAATCTTAATTTTGTTTAGATCATTAGCCTGCAGTATAATGCCCCAAGCAGAATTTGGGGTGAGGGTCTTGGTGGGGGAAGAGGAAGTGCTCATTACTACAGACTTGACAAGATTCTTAACACTACAGAATGATTTTTCTTTCATGGGAGGTGAAGATATCTGGCCCACCAGCAGTCAGACAGAAACCCTGACTTGTGATTTTAACATTACCTTATGTGACCCATGGTCACCTTGTATGACCAAACAAAACCATTTATGAAATAGCTGCCTGGAGTTAAGGATTTAAATGGTAACTTTGTAGACTAGGTTTTCTCTCGTCATCTAATTTATTCGCCTTAACGCTTGTTTCTTTGCCCTTATTCTTACTTGCCTTCGAGTATAATATCCTGAGAATTTATGTTGAACAGCACTAATTTTTTCACATGGAGCTAGCACATGTTTATGACTAGTACAAGTTTATGACTACAAAAAACAGAGATTTTGTCATCTTAAACTGAATTTACTGGGAATAAAATCAGTCAATACAGAAAAGTATAACAAAGGAAATAAAAATCACCACAACTCCTACTACCCGAAGATTATATGGTTAAAGTGTTTCATATATTCTTCTGTAATTTTTACACATATATGTTTTTAAATAAAAATTAACCCTACCTATAAACCAAACAATATTATTTAACTAACAAGAGAAGAATAAATTATATTTTTGGTTGGCTATATAACAAAGAGAATCCAGCCATTCAGAAAAAAACAGGGTAAGACAAGGAAGGAAGCCAAATAGATGGGCTGCAATGGAAGTTCACCCAGAATGAATGAATGAATGAATGAATGAATGAATGAATGAATGAATGAATGAATTAGGAGCTATTTTACTGACTGTGGTCAGTCAGGGAACACCTATTAGAAAAAGCAGCATTTGGCCAGGCGCAGTGGCTCACACCTGTAATCCCAGCATTTTGGGAGGCTGAGGCGGGCAGATCACCTGAGGTCAGGAGTTCGAGACCAGCCTGGCCAACATGGTGAAACCCCGTCTCTACTAAAAATACAAAAATTAGCCAGGTATGGTGGCACACACCTGTAATCCCAGCTACTCCAGAGGCTGAGGCAGGAGAATTGCTTGAACCCAGGAGGCAGAGGTTGCAGTGAGCTGAGATTGCACCATTGCACTCCAGCCTGGTCAACAGAGCCAGACTCCGTCTAAAAAAAAAAAAAAAAAAAAGAAGAAAGAAAGAAAAAGAAAAGGAAAAACAGCCTTTGAGTAGCGGCCAGTGAGCCATGGAACTCTGTAAGGATCTGGGGAAAACTTATCTATCCGGTTGGAGGGAACCGCAAGTGTGAAGGTACTGAGACAGGAGTGAACTCAGTGAACTGGTGGAACAGAACAGCATGGAGGCCCCGGGAGCTAACACAGGATGAGGCAATGGAGAACGGCAGGAGGGGACATGGCAGAGGCGGGTTTTTCCTTTTCCAGTTTTCTTCAGTTCTTCTGATTGCCTCAGGAGAAAAGTCTTAGTTTGATGTTAGCACATATTTAACACTTCGGGTGTTCACTACTCTATTTTTCAACAAAAAGATAGCAGATTTTGGGATCACAGCCTTCTGAGATGATGGTATTTAACTAAAATATAATAGCATTGGTCTTTATTTTCTTTATTTTCACAATTACTGTCTTTTCTTTTTTGATGTAGTGTCTCACTCTGTTGCCCAGGCTGAGTGCAGTGGCGCTATCACAGCTCACTACAGCCTCTAACTCCTGGACTCAGGAGGTGGGATCCTCCCCCGTCAGCTCCTCAAGTAGCTGGGACTGTAGGCATACAGCACCACATCCGGCTAATTTTTTATTTTTTGTAGAGATGGGGTCTTGCTGTGTTGCCCAGGCTGGTCTCATACTTCTGGGCTCAAGTGATCCTCCCACCTTGGCTTCCCAAAGTGCTGGTATTACAGACACGATCCACCACAATCAGCACACAATTACTATCTGTTTATAGCGAGTGATGCTGGTTTCCTATTTACAGGAGCGATAAAGTCTTTTTTAAAACAAATGTATTTAAGTTTCAAATTAAATCATCTTAAAGAAAAATATGACATAAGAAATGTAAAAAAGTGGTACATGATCAGAAGTGGCAAAAATCCTAAAAGTAATTGGCAAATGACTTAAGTTTGGGAAACACAGTTCTAATCCATCCCACCTATACCTGGACACCCTAAAGACGAATCCAAACCTATTAGAGACTTATTCCTGCTTTCTAAGATGATCACAACCTAGTTAATCTAGTTATAAATTAATCTGGATCACTAGTCAGTGATACTCCCGCCCTCAAGTAAAATGGCTGCTTTTTGAGAGCTTTAATTCAGATTCTGTTTAGAAGAAATAACAGGTATCATGGTTAGTACAAGGATTGGTCAGAGAGCTATATCTTGCCTGTTAACCACATAGATTCTGGCAATGATTTCCCATTTATATCATCTAGGTGGTTTTACTGGTTGTTCCCCTAGTTGTTTCTCTTTTTTTGTTTGTTTGTTTGTGTTTTTTTTTAGACAGAGTACCACTCTGTCACCCAGGCTGGAGTGCAATGGTGCGACTTCAGCTCACCGCAACCTCCGCCTCCTGGGTTCAAGCTATTCTCCTGCCTCAGCCTCCAGAGAAGCTGGGATTACAGGCACCTGCCACCACATCTGTTTACATCTGGCTAATTTTTTGTATTTTTAGCAGAGACGGGGTTTTACCACGTTGGCCAGGCTGGTCTCAAACTTCTGACCTCAGGTAATCTACCCACCTCAGCCTCCCAAAGTGCTGGGATTACAGGCCTGAGCTACCACGCCCGGCCCTCAGTTGTTTCTTAATTTGCCTGCTAGTTTGTTTTTGATATGATACTAATCGAAATGGAGGTCCTTAAATGAACTTCTTTCATAAACAAAAACATTAGTTTTGGCAGTGATGGCTTACAAGAGTGTGTTCTGTAATACCTACTTTGCAGATGCAATTTGAATTCTTCAATACGAAATATTTGGATTTCTTTTTCCTGAAATTCTTTCTAATGAGATTTTTGTGGATTTTTTTTTTTTTTGAGACAATGTCTCACTGTTGCCTACCCTGGAGTGCAGTGGCACAATCATGGCTCTCTGCAGCCTCAAATTCCTGGGCTCAAGTGATCCTCTTGCCTCAGCCTCCCACCTCAGCCTCCTGCCTCAGCCTCCTGAGTACCTGGGACTACAGGTAAGTGCCACCACCCAGCTAATCTTTTATTTTTTGTAGAGACAAAGTCTCACTATGTTACCCAGGCTGGTCTCAAACTCCTGAACTCAAGCAATCCTCCCATCTTGGCCTTCCAAAGTTCTAATGAGATTTAAGCAAGGAGATGGATGGAAGTTGCTTTGTATTACTGATGTTCTCAGAAAAAAGAAAATCGAATCTGAACACAGCTGTTGCAAGTACAGGTGCAGACTGATTACTAGCAAGTTAGATGGCCCAACACCATATTCATCTAAATGTAAATATTTTGCTTGTTTTTCAGTGACTTGTAGAAGAGTGATTCTGGAAAATACTGCCCCTACATTCAAATGGGAGAAAGCCTCCCTTGTACCAAATTTGCAATCATTACAAAACTGTTGATATAATCTTAACAATCAGAAGAGAAGTTGGTTACTCATTTAAATTACTGGTAAGATTTTTGTAAGCCCTGTGACAAAACACATGAAGTGATGAAAAATTCTTCCCCCACAGAAAGAAAAGAAAAAGCCCTGGAGGATCCAGGTCTAGCCTCAACTCTGTCAACTACTCCAGTACCTATTAACCTTGAAGAGCTACCTAGTTTCTGCAGGCTCAGATTTTTTAACTCTAGAATGAGAGGAATACATTAGACTCCCTTTGGGATAAAAATGCAGTGTTTTGGCCTGGTACGGTGGCTTATGAATCTGTAATCCCAGCACTTTGCGAGGCTGAGGCAGGTGAATTACTTGAGGCCAGATGTTCGAGACCAGCCTGGCCAACATGGCGAAACCCCATCTCCACTAAAAATACAAAAATTAGCTGGGCATGGTGGTGCACGACTGTAATCCCATCTACTTGGGAGGCTGAGGCAGCAGAATCACTTGAACCCAGGAGGTAGAGGTTGCAGTAAGCTGAGATCGCACCACTGCACTGCAGCTTGGGGGACAGAGCAAGACTCTGTCTCAAAACAAAACAAAACAAAACAAAACAAAAATGCAGTGTTTTCACAAAATAGCATCAACAGAAAAAATTACCAAAGTTAATAAATTGGCACTACATAAATAGGATATCTGCATTAAAAATGTAAAGGATTTTCTGAATGACCAAGCAATTAAATTATAGAAAACTGCAAGCACAAACAAATACACTTGTTAGAAAAAGTGTAATTATAGGAAAGTGCTAAATTACATTTGGACATTGAAAAGCCATGAAATGATTCAGGCAGACAAAAATAAAATATATGAAATAAGAAGCACACAACAGTTGTGATGTAGCCATAGGCCTGCCCAACTTGTTGGACCAAAGAAGGAAAAAAATTACTATATAATAAATGATTTGTCTTTTCCATTCCTAAAATATGCACAACTGTCTGGATCATTGTGATATGAATATAATGCCAGGTTATCGCAAATGGGATCAATGCATAGCTGTTAGAAGGGAATTGTGAAATCTCCAGCTCTGAGCTCTTCTTCTGGAAGGGTGGAGAGAGAACAACAGCCAGTTTATGAAACCATTAGGAAGTATTTATAGGTCCATGCTTATATCATTTCATAATAACTTACATGTTATTGTCTGCTTGTATATTGTGTGATCTAAGAACAATTTCCAAATTAAAATATTGTAATTGTTCCCATTAAGTTTATCCTGACAGATCTTTTTTTTTGGGGGGGGGCGCTGGGGGACAAGATCTTGATCTGTCACCCAGATGCAGTGGTGGCACAATCAGGGTTCATTGCAGACTCAATATCCTAGACTCAAGTGATCCTTCCCCCTCAGCCTCATGAGTAGCTGGGACTATAGGCATGTGCCACCACACCTAGCTAATTTTTTTTTTTTTTTGAGATAAGATCTTATTATGTTGCCCAGGCTGGTCTTGAACTCCTAGGCTCAAGTGACCCTCCTGCCTTACCCTCCCAAAGTGCTGGGATTACAGGTGTGAGCCGCCATGTATCCTGACAAATCTTTCTTTTTACTGCTCCTTTAAGTGGGACCTGTCTTTGACCCAATACTCTGAACCAATATATTCACCTGAGAGAGAGAAAAGAAACTGTATTACAAATAAAGCAAAACTGGAACAAGAAGCCTTGGTCACATTTGTTGAAGACTAGCATAATGCTGGCTAGTCTGGCCAGATGTCTAAGAATGGATTAAATGGCTTTCTGCAGTTCTTTTTAGGATCAAGATGTTATAAAAAGCTTTAGTATTTGATACATTTCAAGGGAGAAAAGGCTGCGTTTACTTATTTTTAAATGCTGTGTGTCTTTGTACTTAGGTGAATACATGTGAGTATATTTTAAATTAAATTCCTTTCAACTATTTCAACTATTTTTACAGACATCATTTACTGAGAGGACAAATGGGTAATATTAAAAAAACTGCC